AACAGTATAATTTAATATATGAAAATTAGTATAGTTTGAAAACATTTACCTGTATCGGTATACATGAGCTCAATTTTATCTCCATAATGGGCTTGCATAACGTTGTAGTGATAATCATACATGACGGTCTTAGAAATTTCCAACACTGCAAAACCTGTTGAAAAAATATATTAAAATTCAGCTACTATAAGTAGTATATTATATTTACCTATATAAATAGGCTTGCAAAAATCAATGATTTTATTTTCCAACGAAATGGCATTGAGAGTTTCATCGTATGTAGTACAGTGTTTAAACGTACACTTATTTATAAGCTTTTGCAAACGTTTTTCACTACAAACCAGCTCCATTTGAATTCTCTTCCTAACGGATTCCATCGTCTTCCCAAAAACAGCATTGTTTAAAAGTTTAAAAAAGTCCTTCTCAAACGCGTTCCTCGCCCTCTTTCTCATCTCAGTGTTTAATTCTATATATTTCTTAAGCCAGTCTGACTGATTAAACTGAATAACTCTGTGAACCTACAATAAAACAAAATATGTTATAAATGAAATAAATGAGATAAAATATGTTACTTTTTCCACTACTAGTCCGTTTTTAATGGCCTGCTGCAGGTTGCGATAATGGATTACATATTTTTTTTTTGAATGGAGTGTCGCCATAAGTTTCTTAACTTTTGAACCAGGTGGGATATCATTTTTTGGTAGGAATGGTAAGTCACTGTGCTTGTCATGAAGTTCTTTCGGATATGATATATCAACCTCATATATCCGTCCTATTGGTGATGTGTCGTTCAAATCATTTAACCCATCTAGTTTGGGTTCAACCCACTTAAAACCTCCGTATGGCATGTAATGTGACATTGCGAACCCGTACAAGTTGTTACCTGCAAGTTAAATAATATATTATATTAAAGAAAATTAAATATTAAATTGATCTTACAATCCTGATAAACAAGCCATGATTTCGGTTGTGCTGGATCATAATCTGGTGTCTTTTCATTATTAGCCTTTGCATATCTCATGCTCGCCTGAGTCAAGCCACCACGAATTCCTATAATAAAATCAAGTATTATTTCACATAATATAACTTTCACATAATATAACTTTACCTTTTTCAATCATTAACAACATATCATAATCTGTCAACAATTCCAGCTTCATTGAAGTGTATTTCAACATACAGTCAAATGAGAATCCAGGTGCCGTATAGTAAAATGATGGGTCCAGATGGTATGTGCTTAAACAGAGGTCTCGGAAATTTTCAAACACATCAGCCAACAGTAGTACATCAATTTTTAAATAAAGATCGGAGTATTCCCCTAGTGTTTTACAGTTGAAATGATTCCAAACCGTCTTCGCATGATCATAATGTTTATCTTTTATATGTGATTCGTACAGTGAACTGTAAAAATCTTCTTTCTGAGGCAAAACTGTTTCTTCCAACTTGTCCCAACTATCTGTATACTCATAAGGGTAGACTCCCTTACGGGTAACAAGTGGTAAATCTTGAGATGAAAAATATTTTTCTGTCTCTCTAAACTTTTCAAATCCGGGTGTAATTAAATTTTTTGAAAGTTTTGATAAGCTTGCGGGCATAAATCTTAATGTGTCTATAAATCTTATTGTGAAAGTGTTGCTAATATATTTTGAAAACGTTATAAACTTTTCCTCACTGTTTGGTATCACCGAAATTGAATGTGCGTCATAACCAAGACGAGTGACAATAAAATGTGAATCATAATTCGTTAAATTATGAAAAAATACCGGTACAAAGCTAGGTGTTTGGAGTTTAAGATTACACGTATTACATAGTGACTGTCTAAATTTCCCTGATAAATGGCAGTGATCTGCCACTTTATGATTTTCTAGGGAAAACTTGACCTTACATAAATTACAATTATTACATAATGCATGTGTTCTCCGTTGTTCGTCAGTGAAAATTATAGGAATGTTTGTTTTGAGTAACTCTTCAATTTTTTTGGCTATTTCCACAATTTTATCCACAAAATGTCCAGCTACGTCCTTATTATTTTCATTTCCACGGTAAATTACAGGTGATGTTGGAATTTCAAATTTTTCAAGCAGTTCTACTGGTATGTCTTCATTTGCTTTAACCACAAGTCCATAGCTCATGGGCTCGTGCTGTTGAAAAGCTACTGTTTTTTCTCCAATTTTCTCATCAGTTTTCTTGAGAATTGCTTCGAAATCTGCATAAATTACTATAGGATGACGTTGCGTTTTATTCCATGCAGTAAACTCGAGCATTGTACCAGGTTCAGGCATCTGAGCTAGTATAGGTTTATGTTCTCCACATATTAGTTTATGTTGCTCTAGCCCTGCCTCACCATTTAATTTATATTTGTACTGTTGTTTATCGAATGATGTGAAGCACCGTTTGCAAAATATTGATTGTCCATCATGTTTGGTTTTTTGTGACCTGATGAGCCGTGAAAAATTAGATATGTAGCTATAATGACTGTTATCCTCGTCTGATGTTATAAGTAGATCAAAATGGTCTGGTTTTTCTTCATCTACTACTTTAAGAGGAAAAACTTTATATTCTGTGAATTTTGGTGGTTGAAATTTCTTGTCGATACCGTAAACATTGACAGACACGTTTGGATTATTTTTTTCAAAAATTTTAACTTTATGTAGTGGTGTTGGGAATGTTAAACCAGAAAAATTATATTTATCCTCGAGCGATGTATAATTATCACCAACACGGTATTTATTTTCTCCTGTAACATGTTTTGCTAGAATTGCCCACTTGAAGCATTGCATATCTAAGTTTTGAGGGTTGATCACAGCTTTTTTATTTTCTATTGGGTCTGGTAGTGGCATGTATGATGATCCGCCCAAAGGTGTATATTTATATACGCCTAACATTAAACCGTCAATACATTGTAATGTGAAACCACTACCCTTGCTTGCATACTCGTCTTGCTCTTTCATTAATTTAGTAAATGCCTCTTCAACAATTTCCTGTACTCCAGTATCACAGAAAATCGCCTTAGCCGAAGTTTTAAAAGCACGGTTTTCCGACGAATATTCAACATTTGGTATATTATATGTCGCTTCAAGCTTTAAATTAAACTTGATTGGATTTTTACTTGCAATTGATTTTAGTAAATTAACTAGTTCGGATTTGATCGAATCGAGGAAGTAAATATAGTTTTGAATATTATTGGTGTTTTTTACGTAATACCAGGTGATAGTATTGTTTGCTGATGTAGATATTGACTGAAATCCGGGGGACTTAACGAGATTCAAACGTAATTTTTTTGCCCTAACTGCTGATCTAGTGTTGGCACTGGAAATGCGTTTTCCATTATCAAGCGTAATGTATGAATCTTTTAAAAAAAAAAACCTAATTAGTCTATGCCGCGTTTATAAAAATTAAATTACTAACCTTCCTTTTCACAGTATCCAAGATCCTCGATAATATCTGCGACTTGAGCGTAATTTTCATCATCATCAATGTCGTTGTAAAATGTGTCCGTTATATTATCTCGTACTGTTGGCACGTGGGTATTTTGTTTATCTTGTACTGATAATACGTTATCATTTTGGGTAGGCTGTTCTGTCGGACAATCTCGCACGGTTGATGCGCGGTCATTTTGAGTTGGTAGCACTGTTGGAGTGGTATCTCGTGACGGTCCTGCCGGAATATCGGGAACGGATATATGTGGTGCGATCAGTATATTTCCCTGCTGTACGGTACCTAGTAAAAATATAATATAATATAAATAAATATTTAAAGTGATAATCAACAATACTTACCACGAACATTATCGGGGGTGGGTACATGTGGTTTGACTCGGATATTTCCCTGCTGTACGGTGTCTAGTAAAAATATAATATAATATAAATAAATATTTAAAGTGATAATCAACAATACTTACCACGAACATTATCGGGGGTGGGCACACGTGGTTTGACTCGGATATTTCTTTGCTGAATCGGGGCTTGTACGATACCTATTATAAAAATATATATAATATAAATATTTAAAGTGCTAAACAGAAATTCTTACCGTGAATATTTTTCAAATGTTTTTTGAGGCTGGTCTTGTAACTGAATGTAATGCAACATTCAGTGCAAGGAAAACGAATACCTTCATGGGTTTTTTGATGAGCGACCAAACTCCGTTTCGCCATGAATTCCGAAGTACATTGATCACATTTAAACATTTTCAAATGTGTTTTCCGATGAGCAGTCAGATTGGTCTTGTACACGAATTCCAAATCACATTGATCGCATTTAAACATTTTAAAATTATTGTGAAGCGAACGTTATAACACGATAACAGTGCGGAATGTACTAACTGACCATCCCTAACATGTAGGTAATAAGATGACATTCCCCCACTACCGCTCACCCATCATGCTCACCGTATGTGGCGTATAACAAAAGATTTTATTTCGACCTTTTCTCACTAAGTAATATTTTAAAAACTAAAATGTATATATATATAAAGGATAATGAAATCCCGTTATACCCTTATAACCTAGTTGATAATACTATACATAGAAATGATATATTCGGTGGGGTATACTTTTCTAAAAAAGGAAATTTAATCATTTATACAATAAGAGATACCGTCATTATAACCTTATTGACTATACATTAAAATGTTATATGAGGTTGATATATTCGGCGGTGCCGAACGCATATGGTGGATCAGGTCTTGATAGTTTAAATACAATTAAATCGGCAGACTTTTATATATATATACCGAGTGTGAGAGGTTCTGGATATATTATAAATAAGAGCAGGTATTTGGACAAAAAAAAGGAATTTAACAGTTAATAGATACTGTCATTATAACCAGATTGACTCTGGCCCCACTGGATAATATATATATGTTTATATATAAGAGTAGGTCTTTTGACAAAAAAAGGTACAGCGCGTTTATTATTTTTTTTGTATGGATTTATATAATAAGGAATTTCCATCAGTTTGTTATAAGCTTGTAACATACAAACACGTTATTTCAAAAAAATGTCTAATTCATCACAAAGTGATTGGGGAGATTATAATAGACGTTTATCACCGAGCTTGTCACCGGATACTATTAGACGTCATCAACAGCCTATGGAACAAAATCCGGTATATAGTCCGGATGCAAAGCCCTTTGAACTATTAATAGAGGGTTATAACAACGAGTTCGGATATGGTGTCATGGTGTTGAATGTTAAAAATACCCATAGACAAAGAAAATAATAGATAAGCAACTCGCCTGGTTTATTGGTTCTGCGATTTTAGCGCTATGGTGGCTATCTCTCGAACTATTGTCAGAAATGAAAATGAAAACCTTCAGTTCGCCAAAATACCAGTAGAATATTATATGTTCAAGTCACTGGGGTGGTCTCGAGTGCGATCCGTGGAATGGAATAGGGGCGAGGGAAATATTTAATGTTTGGAGAGTAAATAAACACGACGCAGTCTATATGACGTGTACAAATAAAATATTTTTAAATAAAAATGAGTTGCTTTTAAAAAAAACATAATAAATAATATTTTTATTAACATACATACCTGAATTATTATTTCGTATATAATGTGTACAAATATTTGAAATAAAAACTGAGCACAATAATAACGGGTGCGTGATAACACGTTCGTGATAAGAAATAATTTTCATTATCAAATGTTAACGGGTGCTTGATAACACGTTCGTGATAAGAAATAATTTTCATGATAACATCTTAGAAATAATATGTACATTTATACAAGTTAAATAAGGCTAGTTATTACCAATTAAGTATATGTGGTGGGGTGGCGCAGTGGCATGGTGGTCGCTCACCAATCCACAGGCTCGGGTTCGAAACCCGGTCGGACGAAAAAATTTTTTAACTTATTTTCCCCGGGCGGCGGCGGCGGCCATAGAGTGCCGTCGGCGGCGGCGGGTGGTGGGGGTAGTCGACCGGCGGTGGGCTCTGCCGTCGGCTGGTGGGGGTAGTCGACCGGCGGTGGGTTCTGCCGTCGGCGGCGGGCTCTGCTGCCGTGTGTCAGGGTTCTGCTCGAGAGCATAGGGATCTGCCAGCAGGTTCTGGTTCTAGAACTGTCTTTTTTACTCTACTTGTGTGCTGTGGCTCCATCTTGTTGGAACCAGACTTCTTTGTGGTTCCTAGTAAACTGATTTAAGTTTGATTGGAGGAAGGTCTCAATCATGTGACAGTAGCGATCCGCATTAACTGTAACTTTTTGCCCATTTTCTTCGAAAAAATACGGACCTAACACACCAAATTCAGCAACAGCACACCAAACTGTCAAAAGGGCTGTGAAGTGGTCGTTGATGAATTTCCTGAGGGTTTTCTGTTGCCCAGTATCGGAAATTTTGTTTATTTACGGTACCCGATAAATGGAAATGGGCCTCGTCAGACGAAATTAAAACAGCACCAACGGGAATGTTTTGAAGAATGTCTTCACAAACAGCTCTGCGAGTTTCAAAATCTCTCTCACTTAATTCTTGTGTGATCATCATTTTGTAGGGATGCATATGAAGATGTGTGTGCAAAATTCGTCTTACACTCCTATCAGACAATCCAAGGGCAGCTGCATGTTTAAGTGCTGAACGCCTCGGAGATTGCTGGATAGACGCACTTACACGTGCCACATTATCCGGCGTTGTTGCGGTTAAAGGTCGGCCAGACGATTTTCTCTTTAGCGCAGAACCCGTTGCTCTAAAGTTTGATAACCAAACTTGAATTGTTTTTCTATCCGGAACAGGATCATGTCGGCCAAGTTGAAATCGAATGCGAAATATTTATTACGGATATATTCCTCTACGACAAATGCGCGATGCTCACCGTGCCACGCCATTATGATTACTAAAAACGGCACGTAGACCTCTATCTATCTATACCCGGAATACCATTTTATCTATAAATAGCTTTAAATATAAACGTCTAAAAATACGGGAGGTTTTTTTGCCGGACCCTGTAGTTCAGCGGTTCTCAAACTGTGCTCCGCGAGATTAGTCTAGGGGCTCCGTGGCTCCCTGAGAATATCTGTATTAATTAAATTTAAATTATTAAATTATTATTATATTTCTTAGTTAAATTTTTATTTTTATAATCAATACTATTTGGACCGTACCAATATGTATTATTTTAAACATTTAAACATTTAAAACTTTAAAATAGGTATTTATAAATCCACATATGTCATATTTTGTGTCATTGTCAAAATGAGATTAGATAAAAGTCGGGTTTTTCGTTCATTTGACAAATGGTACGATAATTATTTAGTTTACTTATCTACAATAGCACAATCTACATTCTACGAAGTTCTAATAATTTCTTGATTCTTCAGTCATTACTCGTTATTCATCGGCCGCTGACTCAAATATTGTTATTTCGGTGTTTATTTCGTATTACGTGTTTCCTATTTTACCATCAATTGTTTTTATTGTTGACAATTTTTTTTTGTGAATAAAAATTTAAATGGATCGTTGGCTTAACAAATCAAGAAATACAGTGGGATCATCCTCATCAGATGCAAATGAAAATAAATGTGTCACACCGAATAATAGTGCGAGTTTAAAAAGAGCAAATAGTCCACCTAACAAACAATCTGATACAGGGACATCTGCCACTACAGTAAGTAAAAGAAGAAAATATGACGAAAATTATATCTCTTTTGGTTTCATACATGAAAATAGTTATCCACAGTGCGTTGTATGTAGTAAAGTTTTTCCGAATAGTTCAATGGTGCCAGCCAAATTGCGCCGTCATTTGGAAACTAACCATACAAACGTCAAAGATAAACCTGTTGATTATTTTATTCGATTGCGTGATCAACTTTTAAAGAATAAGAACTTTATAGCTGAAGTAACAAAAACGGAAAATGAAAAAGCAACAGAGGCATCTTATATGGTCAGTTATCGTATAGCTCAGGCTGGTAAAGCTCATACAATTGCCGAAAATCTAATCAAACCTTGCGTGAATGATATTGTTAGTTGTATGTTAGATGAAAAGGCAGTCAAAAAAATAAATACTATTCCGCTTTCCAACGATACCGTTAGGCGTAGAATTAACGATATATCAACTCACATAAAATCGGAATTAATATCTCGTCTTAAATGTAATAATTTTGCTTTACAAATGGACGAATCCACTGACGTTTCTGGATTAGCTGTATTGCTTGTATTCGTTAGGTATAAATATCAAACTTCTCTTGAAGAAGACCTCTTATTATGTCAACCTTTGTCCACTTATACAACTGGTTATGAAATCTTCAATATGTTGAACAATTTTTTTGAAATAGAAGGATTGACTTGGGATAATTGTATTGATATTTGTACAGATGGAGCGAAGGCAATGGTTGGAAAAACTGCTGGCGTGGTTTCGCGAATTAAAGAAGTAACCAACAATTGTAGTAATAGTCATTGCATTTTTCATCGTCAAGCACTTGCTATTAAAAAGATGCCAATACCTCTTAAAAATGTACTTGATGAGGCAGTGAAGATTATAAATTTCGTAAAATCTCGACCATTGAGCACAAGACTGTTCACAATTTTGTGTGAAGATATGGGAAGTATGCACAAATCACTACTTTACCATACCGAAATAAGATGGCTTTCTCGGGGAAAAACACTTGTACGCTTACTCGAATTGCGCAATGAATTGTACGTTTTTTTCACCGATCACCCATTTAATTTACAGCTCAGACTTAGTGATAAAATTTGGTTATTTCGACTTAGTTACTTGGCTGATATTTTTACAAAATTGAATGAAGTGAACTTATCAATACAAGGTAAAATGACTACCGTTTTCACGGCAAATGACAAAATTCGAGCTTTAAAAAAAAAAAATTAAATTTTGGGCTGTGTGTTTTTCTCAACATAAAATTGATAGTTTTCCTTTGTTAAAGGAATATTTAGAATCGATTGATGGTAATATTGAAGATTTTGATGAAATATATGGCGAAATTGAACAACATTTAAATGAAATACTATCGTCATTAGAAAAATATTTTCCAGAAAGTAAAGACATAGAATTTATCCAACGATATAATTGGGTTAAAAATCCGTTTTTAATCAACGATAAGCCCGAAGATTTATCTATAACGGAGTATGAAGAATTTATTGAAATGACCACCGATTCATCTTTAAAAACTTTATTTGATAAAATATCATTAACAGATTTTTGGTGCAGTAGCAGTATTACTAACGAATATCAATCTCTGGCTAAAAAAGCTATCTTAGCACTTCTTCCTTTCGCAACAACATATCTATGTGAAACCGGATTTTCATCATATGCATCAATGAAAACCAAATATCGTAATAAATTGGATGCTGAAGCAGATATGCGTATTCAACTCTCGCCTATCAAGCCAAATATAAAAATACTGGTCAATAAAAAAAGCCAACATCACGGATCACATTAATAAATAAATAAATTGCTAAAATTTTATGTTATTTTTTTCTAATTAAATTAATATTAATTGAATAATTTGTATATATTCGTATTTTACAGAAAATAAAAATAAAAAGCAAATCATTTACAATTGGCATCATTTTTTTTATGAATTTTAGTTGTCTCATATAGACATTTCTGATTTTTGGGGCTCAGTAATTTTTTTTAGGAATATAAGGGCTCCGCGAACAAAAAAGTTTGAGAACCGCTGCTGTACGTAGTTTATATTCTAAGCGGAGCGATATATTGATTTTACAATGATGTGTGATTTTTAGTGTGTGTACTGGTAAGTAGTGAAAATTGGAAATAATAATGCTTCAATTTTATCTGGACGCTCCCCATGACAAATTCCTAAATACGCCACTGAATTCGAACTATATTTTCAAATTTTCTTTTACCTTTTTTTTTTTACCTGTCAATACAATTTTATTTGTAGGGTCAAAAAGCGTGAAAATATAATATAAGGTACTGATATATTGTTACAATAGCAGTTGAAGAATATTAAAAATAAATACCTATGCGAAATTTATTTTTATAAGCATTTAAAGTTCGAATTTTGACAAAGTTTATCAAAATCTAAAAAATAATCAATTATTGTAATTAAAAAAGGCCCTGGTCTAGTTGACCCCCGCCAGGAAGGCAATTCCCCCACCACTCAAGTTTACTTGACGCCCGCCACTTACATTTTGTATTTTCGATAACCAATAATTTATATGAAAATGTACGATTAATAATACATTATACATTTATTAAAAATTATACATTTATGATTATACAGAACAATTCAAGCGATCAAAATAAAAATATATAAAAAATATAGTAATAATAAATAAAAATAAAAAAAAAAATAAAAATTATGCAGGTGGCCAAAACTCTGCTATGTCCAGAATAATTCATATATGAATAAATATTTAATATAATAAAATATAAAAATAATAATAATAAATTATGAATATAATAAAAGACCTTTTTCTGCTCGACATGACCTTAAATGACATCGCCACCGACCCCTTTGTGTATCCAAAACCATTTCGTGTCCACTGTCACAAGTACTAGTCTTATGGATAATATTTTGGCTTTGCAAAAAAATTATTAACGATGAAACATCATTCACGTCACTATAAATTCTTCGGAAATTCATTTTCTTTTTGTTCAGATGACAACAACTGAATAACTGAGGTAGGTACTTCATAATATTCTATACGGAACCCGCTGTTATACCTATCTTATATAATTATTAATTTTATTACACGGATTTTACCAAATATAATTCTTAAAATATCTAATTAAAGAATTTTACACAAATACCTAACGTATATGATTTCGTACCTTTTTTATCTGCACTCAGATAATGCATAGTATATCAGTATATTATTATACATTTTATAAAGCCTGGGCAAGTTAATGAAAATTTTTAACTGAGTTAAGTTAAGTTAATGCAAAACATTTTAAAAAGTTTAAAGTTAACAGTTAACCTAATTTTTTTTTTTAACTCAGTTAAGTTAAAAGTTATATGAACATTTTCAATTAACTTATTAACTTAAGTTAAGTTAAGTTAATTTTTTTTTTTTTCAAAATACAGTAAAACTTCCGTAAACGGTCACCTCTACACTCAAAAAAATATACAAGTTATTTCAATAAAAATGTAGGTTGGTTTGACAAAATATTTGTTAATATACAGTTAATAAAACGTTTATTGATTGAGAAGTAGAAACTCTATCAATTCAACTAATGAATATTTGAAATGATTAAATGGTTTTTTGATTTAACAATACTCATTGTTAATCGATTCATTAAGATTTAAAACAAATAAACGAACATTTTGTTGATTTAAAAGTATATATTGTTGTACGAACAACATTATTTTATTAAATCTATTAATTTATATTATTAATTTAAACATATGTTGTATCATACTAATAAACTTTTTGTTAAATCCACATTGCATTTTTTTTTAAAAAAAAACAATAAAAATTTGATTTTTGAAAATAGGATTTGGTTGTTTTTACAAATTATATTTGTTAATTAAACAAAAACAAAACATTTATTAAATCGAAATATTTTTTATTTTTAATTAAACACCAATTAGGTTGTACAATATTATTAATTAAAAATAATACGTACAAATTATTATAAATTATATTACATTTAAATACATTTAAAACAAAAAATAATATGTACTTGTTGAAATTACATTACAGTTACAAAATTATATATATATAGATAGCAATATATTATAATATTTATTATTATCTAACGATTGACAAAATATATAAAAAAAAATATTAATACTTAGAGGTCTAATAACATTACAATACAAAATATTATATGTATAAAACTACCTATTATAAATAGCTAAATAGTATAGAACAGCCCTTGTGAATATAAATGTTTAATGAGATTTGTATGAAATTGTTTTGTACTTATTGAAATTACATATTTACATTACACTTACAAAATTAAAATATATAGATAGCAATATATTATAATATTTATTATTATCTAACGATTGACAAAATATATAAAAAAAAATATTAATACTTAGAGGTCTAATAACATTACAATACAAAATATTATATGTATAAAACTACCTATTATAAATAGCTAAATAGTATAGAACAGCCCTTGTGAATATAAATGTTTAATGAGATTTGTATGAAATTGTTTTGTACTTATTGAAATTACATATTTACATTACACTTACAAAATTAAAATATATAGATAGCAAAATATTATAATATTTATTATAATCTAACTGATTGACTCAATATATTTAAAAAAAAATAATAATACTTAGAGGTCTAATAACATTACAATTTACAATACAAAATATTATATGTATAAAACTATACCTATTATAAATAGCTAAATAGTATAGAACACAGCCCTTGTGAATATAAATGTTTATTGAGATTTGTATGAAAATATTTTACTACTTTATAACTTATAAGTAATAGTGTAATGTACTGGACAATATATTTATGTATTTAATTCAACTGAAATCTGTTTAATTAAAACATTTGACTTGTCATATTTTGTTTTAATGTTATAAAAAAAAGTTTGAATAAATAACCATACATCATGTGATTCAATTGGATATTCCACATTAAAGACGTGAAATATCTTGAAACACATATCATAAGCTTTCAAAGCACTAAACATTTTATATTTTATGGTATCAAAATATATTAGTATTTGCTTCGGATCCATCAATGATCCGATGACTAAGACACATGGTTGGATAGGACGTTTACTTGACATATTTTGAAGTGTTGCATCCATTTCCACAGCTGTTGGTTTAATAATAATGAATGCATTCTGTGAATCCTTTATACTGAATTTAATAAATCCTTTTTTGCCATTTTCATCACGTGTTACCTTTTTAGATGTTGGAATAAATATACTGTGTAACAAATACAATACAATCAAACTCTTGGAATCTGAAAAATAAATTAAAGGAATCATTGTAATTTGTAATTTATGTTCATACATAATCCAGAGTAAAATATTTTATAGTTTTTAAATGCTTACCAACTGACAAATCTTGGGTGCTATTTAATTGTTCCAATAATTTCCTACTTGCGCAGTCCTTCACTCGCTCATTTAAAACTGTTATTAATTTGCTATATATTCTATCGAATTCTAAGTTTAACTGTTGATGTTCTGGGTATACATTTTTGAAATCAATATCAACCTAAAATTTCATCATCAATAGATTACATACATTGTTTATTAAGTACTTATAATATACCTATTTTTGTAAATATAATTCCCTTGATTTTAAAAAATAAATTTTGTTGAATAAATTATCATAATTCAATATTATAATTTATTTTATCAGATTATACTGATTATAGATATTTTATATTATTTTTTATTTTATCAGATTTTGAATAACTGCATTATTGAAGAAAAAAGGGGTGAGCAATGAGCATGTTTGGTGAATCACCCTGTATAGTGTATATTTATATACATTACCTTTTTAATTAGTTAGGTATCAATTTATTAAATAATATTTTCGAACTTACAAGTTTATAACCCATTGGTTTTGTATAATGATGAAATTTATCAAATATGGCTCTAGTATCGTTTTCTTTGATAAAATTTTGACGAAAATTTACTGTTTTTTTCCAAATTTCTTCCACCTCAGGCCAAGTTAAATCTGTATCCATTAAATAAGTAGAGTCTTGTTCTGAATTAGGTTCAGCAACTATAAAATAAATAAAAACATACAAGTAAATACATTTTATCAACTATTCCTACTTTAATTAAATTATATTTATTTTTTTTGTTATTTTTGAAAATTTGATTTTTTATTGTGTTTATTGTAATCTGTCAGATTTAACTTGTATCTATTTATGGTGTCTCTATCTTTTGTTGAAGAGTTCACACCTGTTTAAAACTAATAAATAAAAAATAAAACAAAATATTACTTTCTATCATAACATAAGGTTTTTTAAAGTTTTAAAGAACATTGACTTTTATAATTAATCATTAGGTACATCGTTAAAGGCTTATTTTGATTAAATGTTTTATTAAATACATTTTACAAAAAATATTTTTTTACATTAAATTGCAAATCTTATTTATTAAAAAAACATGTTAAAATTAAATATAATATGTTCATAAATTATTGTATTACCATGTATATTGTTATCTCGATCCATTGTACGGCTTACTTGTTTTTTCAATTTTTCTTTTCTTACAGTTTCTATAAGACCATTTTGTTTCATCGACCGCACTGTATTATAATATTTTATATATAATTTTCCTTTAGGACTTTTAGTTATGGAATCTTTTATAAAATATGAATCCTACAAAAATACAGTTACATGGTATTAATTTACTAGGTTACATATTGAAGTAAAATATTAAATACTAACTTTAATTTCAGTAGGAAAACTACCAACAATAGCTTCAGCAATACAATTTGCTAATTTCAATGTCATAACAACATCTCTTTTTATGACGTCGCTTATGATAATTTCTACTAAGATATTGCGACAACTTTCATTTAATATTTTATTTTTGTTGTAATAATCGAAAATCAATGATCCCTGTGCGCTGCTTGTTAAGACATTTTGTAATTGAAATACGTTAGTTTCTGATAAGCTTGTTGGGCTTTGTGAAGACGAACCAGTATTATTAATAGCAACTTGATAACTAGATGACTTATCAACAGTAAATGGCTCACTAATGATAGCTTGAATTTCTTTTTCTTGGTATCTTTTTACCCTGTTTTCAAATTTGATTCTAATTCCCAGTGGAAAGTCTGACAGCAGTATCTCAACATGTTTTTCATTCATCAGCCCTAATACTTCAAAATCAATTAGTTGATCTAAAAATAAAATTATGAATTAGAAATTTAAATAAAATATTCAACTTTATTTTTTAATTAATTACCTAAACATGTTTGATATACCACTTCAAGATTCCACTCTGTGAGAAGTACTTTCAATTTTCCCTCAGGATCTACAAATGTTGAATGTTTATACATTGAGGTGAATTGAGCAGAATGGCCATTAGTGTTATGAGACATTTCAGAAACACCATTATCAATAGGTACATATTCTGCACAAGTGAAATTGGCTGGATAATCTTCTATATTATGAAATATATCATTCATTTTGAAAAAACCTTAAGAAAATAAGGAACCAATAAGATATTAATATAAAACTAAGCTATATTTACAAAATTATGTTAACTAAATTATAAATAAGGATCCAAAAAAACAGACTATAGAGGCAAAAAAATTGAAAAACTATTAGAAAACAACAATATTGTAATGTTAAATGAGATGTCTCCCACTCATATCAATCTAGACGATGGAACCTTATTCTGTATTGACCTAACAATGTGCACATCCACTCTAGCCCAAAGACTCAAGTGGGAAGTGCTTCCAGATATTTACAGCAGCGATCACCTTCCAATAACAAACTTTATGACCAGGATAGGAGAAAGTAATAAAATAAAAGTCATAGATGAAATTTAAAATCACCAAACTGGACGTAATTCAGTGGTAATATAGAAGATGAAATTACAAAAATACAACAAAATAACCAATCAAATATTGAAGTTAAAACATTAACTGACATAATTACCTTAGCTGCAGGAATATCAATTGGTAGTTCTATAAACCACATCAAAAAACTCAAAGTTCTCTGGTGGAACGATGAGATCAAATTATCAAAAGAGCTATATTCAACAAAATGAATGCCCTAAACACATATAAAAACATAAAATAACACCTAACCTAACACAAAATCCTTATACTAATGGCTTAGTTGTCAATGTATTTAATGATCAATAAAAAAAATAATAATAATAAAAATAACAATAAACAAGTATGGGTTTTTTTTTGTGATTATCAATCTGAATAATATTCCTTTAATCTTAACATTATGTTGCCGTTGGGGAGTTCATGTAAATTTACTGGTGGTCCACTACATTCCCCAGGACTTAATATTTTTTTTAAAATAATATTTTTGGTTTTATTTATCTGGTATGATTTTAAATGAGAGTTATATAAATCTATTTCAATTTGTTGAACAATAAAATTAACTTTATAGTTTTTTTTTATTACTAATATTTCTAAAATTTCATAAAGACACAATTCATCAATAAAATTTGTTAAAAAGTATCCTACTTTATATGTTGTACCCTTAAATTCCATTTGTGAATAACACATAAACTGGTCACTAGTTAAATTTAAATTTCTTAAAATAAGTTGAGTATATTTACTAGAGTTAACATGTATTTTGTTTGTAATTATTTCAGTGTTAAATGAGGATTGTAGAATGCTGTATGAAAATTTATATTGAAATTTTTTAGCCAACGATAAAGTTATATTTTTACGGGATGTTATTGCATGGGCATATGATTTCATTTCTTTATGCTTAGCTTCATATCTGAAACACCAAAAATGTTTTGGAGGCCCAGAATACTTTATAACTGTTGGATAATGTATCAATAAATGAAATTTAGGTTTTAAATTATCATTGAATAATAAGACATATTCTGAATTATGTTTTTCTATCATTTGTTGAAGGTGGAAAATAGAGCCATCAGACATTTGACTTGATAGTAAATTTTGAATAATTTCTAAAAAATTTAAGAAAAATAACCAAACATTGTCATCTTCAGGAACTAAGTCTCCTACCATTAACGGAAAATAATAAACGAAAGTCATCATTTCGCGTGCTGACATTTTTAAGTGAAAATTGTTTAAATGAGTTGATTTAATAATAGGTGAGATATTTCCTATTTCAATTGCACCATAATTGAAATTCTGTTTTCTATAGTTTAGTAAATCAAGTGAGAAAATTTTTACTACATTAGTATAGTAGTTGATTATATGACACATGTTGTAATGACAAATGCCTTCGAATATATCATGCATCATGTCAACACTATAGTTAGTTGTAACATGAAAAGAAACAATTTTATTTAAAATTGATTCTTTAGAAATCCCAGTTAACTTTAAATCATTAATTGCAACATCTTCAGCATAGTTGACTAAATTACGAAGTAGTGAATTATTTTCTTTGCATAGTTTATGCGTTACAGTTTTATGAGCTTTACAAAACCTACAAAAGAAATTGGAAGAAAATGATCTGCTAAATTCACTGATAGCGTTTATTCCTAAATTGTCACCAATAAACAGCCCTAAAATAAAATGAACTTTTTTGACACCATTTGAAGTTGTTATGTTGATACCATTTACTTCAATATCATTTAATATATGTATCAATTTATTAAAACATAAATCATTTCCAAAATCTTTAACGTCAGCAGCTTTAATTAAAGCAGCTAAATGAATGTTTATTAATTTTGATTGGTCAGATAAGGGAAAACTATAGTATATAGCTGAAATAGAATGAACCGAAGCATGCGACCCTAACGGGTTATTGATTTCGAAGTCATCTATGTACATAAAATAGGGGATTGTAATTTTACCCCGGTAGGGTAAAGTTTTTTCTTGCCACAATTTTCCTTGTACAAAATGTTTTATTTCTGTTTCATTATTTGTGTTCTTTGTCAATTGTTCATAGATTGTTAAAGTTTTATCTAAGTTTTTATCATGTTCAAAGAATTTTTTAAACTGAAAATTTATTGGCAATAATACACCCTTAGTAATTTGGTTATTATACATAGTTTTACCTGAGTTAGATACTAAGTCAATCTCTTCATTAACAGTAAATTGTTGAATGTTTTCAAATAAGTGATTTTCAACTAACCAACTGTTTAAAGAATATTCGGTATTACAAAAATTAAATGTATCAGAAATTGCTGATGTAATTGTTTGAAAAGTTGCTAATAAAATTGGTTCTTTAATTGTTTCTTTGGTAAAACTAGTAAGTAAACTCACAATTGGTTCCAATAAACTTATTTTCATTTTTTGTTGGATATCAAAAACATCTTTTCTACTGAAGTTATTTTTATTAAGTAATGATAAAGTAAATGTAACTGCAGAAATATGAAATGAGTTAATGATACTACTTAAGTCAAAGGAATTATGACTTTCTGGAGGGGGTTGTTGATTATAGTTGGTTTTGGTTATATCATGGCTATAGGCAGTATCCAAAGGCTCCGGGGTTTTAACTATAGTGTTATTAACATTGTTAATATTATCGCAAATAGTATAAGAATTATTAAGTGTTGATGTAGGTAAACTAAAAGTATTTTTTAAGTGCTTTATTGTAACGTGTCTTTTATAACTATTTAAATTGGGAAATATTTGAGTGCATTGGTTTTCTATGCATTCATATGTACTCGAAGACTTTAACAAATGAATTATTTTTAAATGAACTATCAGTGCTGAAAAAATTGAAATATCTTGTTTGCAAATAAAACAAATCATAATTGTAAATTGGGTATTGATGGTTGAATAAAATAATTATAAAAATGTTAGTTACCATGAACTACAGAAACTATGAAAATAACATAAATAATAAGGTACTTACCTTTTATGTGACACTGTAATATTGTAATAAATTTTAATATGAATATACCTACCTGATTAACTTAATAGCTATTATGGCAGAGGAACAGTTTTTCTGGATTCTGAACTTTACTAATTAGTAATACAACTGCATAAGTGCATACGAGCAACTGTTTCATAACACGATACACGAAAGACAAAAACGATAGCAATGAATTGATCAATTTAACTTTTTGTGTATAAATAATCATGATATGTTATCAAATTAATTTTATACGTTATTGAAATAATAATAATTATTGTGGATCTGCAACAAATTAAGATATAAATAGAATACGAATTTTGCATTTGCTGGAAACTAAGTTAATAATAGCATTTATCAATCTAAAGTCTATACTTACTACTGAAATGATAATGGTTTTATTAATTTAATTCAACGTAATGTTATTTTAAATACATCATTTTTTAAATCAATAATGCAATTATTAAATAACACATTATATAAATAATTGTGATTGTTAAAATGTGAAAATACATAGTATTCATTTCAATAAACCCAATTGTTGTTTTTAACATATAATTAATTAATTTAAACATATTTGTAATAAAAATAATAAAATAATAATTGATTCAATAAATGTCAGATTGTTAAAAATTGATAATTGTTTATTATTATTTTTACTCATGATATTTGGTTCAGTGTATGTAATGGTCAATTTTTTTGGCCCCGTCGAGTGTTTTCCTACATCTGTAGGACGGTCACCTCTAAATAGCGGTCATTATTTACAGTCCCTTTGGTGACCGTTATATGGAAGTTCTACTGTATCTATATAAATACCCAGTAATATGGTTTAAAATAATAAAAATCTTAAATATTATTGAACACAGGAAATAGCCAATAGCTTTTCTATACATAGGTAGGTACTGAATTAATAGAATAATTCTACCTACCCATAATTATTATATAGTAGGTACACAATTCACACAAATCACTGAAACGCGGTAATGTAAATCCAAAATCGTGTGTTGCGTGCTGATAGAGCCGAGAACGAAAAGTGAACCCATGTGGGCTATGAATATTTTGTCTAGGTACTGGCAATATTGACTGTTTATAAATATAAACATTTGAAATATAAATGTACATGGGCATAACCCAATTAGTTTTAATTTAAAAATAACCTATTTATGCCGAAAATATTTTACATTATGTTCTTCAGAATTGTACATTTTTGATTTGTATCTATATCAAAATAATAAGATAATAGGTACCTATATCATATTACTTATTAGTTATTAGTATTTATTAATTATTATTATTACAATATGCCCGTATGCTGCAGTATGGTATGGTATATCTTTATATATACGATACACCTCTATATTATAATATAATTGGCTATTGGCTATTGCATATTGCTATATCTATAAATATACAGGGTGATTTTTTTTATCGAAGAACACTCATTATTTCAAAAAATATTGACTTTTTCAAATTTTTTTTTTTTTTTAATTTTTAGATTCATGCTTTTCTACAATTGTATTACATTTTAATTTTTTTCACCCTTATATTTATTAGGTAAACCACTATCAACTTTTGATTTTCAAATGGTGACCCATACAAAAATTGTTATAAACTAACAAGGCTATTTTTTTTATGAATTATCACGTTCAAATTTTCATTTTTCGTTAATCCGTTGACGAGATATAGCTCCTCAAAGTTGGGTGGTTTTGTGAGGTTTGTGTGTAAATGTGTAATACCTAGTCAGTACCTAGGTACCGCAGCAATTGTGATTTTTATGCCCCAAGGTAAAAATGTTACACTTTTTAAATCATTTCAATTAGGCACAGTAAGCTTAAGTTGTGCCCCTAAATGTATTGTAAAACGCCCATTTGGCGGGGTATCGCGCAGTTCACCCCACTGATTGCACTGGTCATAATAAAGTTTATCAATTTTAAAGACCAGAAGTTAAAAGAAATCAACTTGATATCGTTTGACAAAAGGTATAATAGCGATAATCATTGTACCTACTCGCTACAATAAATTATTGTCATAATCTCATATAGTCATATTATTATAAGTAATTGGACCATTACTGTCAAATGTTGCATACTCGCGTGTGTAATCCCCACTACACACCTAGCACGATGTAGATAATATTACTATAGATATAAATTATTATCTACATCATAACACGTCCTATAACCTAACCTATAGTAATACGAACACAAAACAAAACAGTTACTGTAATGTAATGTATTATGTAATGTAACAGTGATGTCTGATTAACTGATTTGAGATTACTATCGTACCTACTTTGTGCTGATATCATAGTTTCATGATCAGGTACATGATATTATGGAAGTATACCAAATACCAGGTTGTTGTGGATCGAGTAGATAATTAGGTATAGATATTATTATCCGTGATAACTGATAAATATTAAACGGTTAGGTTATAAGATAATACGAATAAAATGCTTAATGCATCGTGACTCGTGAGTCGTTGACACGATTAAAGATATACGTATATCTTTAATCGTGGTCGTTAATTAAGTATTTATTTTTTAATAAGTTACAATCAGTTTACAATCAGTTTACAATCAGTTTACAATTTTAACTTTTAAGTACCTATTTAAATTATTATGATACGTTTAGTGTTCTTGAATATATTATTGTCATATTTACCACATATTGTATTTTATGTATTTTATTTAATAATTTAATCAAACATAAAAGTACCTACGTAAATTGATTAATCACACGTGAATTGAATACTAATTGGCGAGTAAATTTGTAGCTACAATAAATTATTTATTGGTAAGTTCTACTATAGTTGGTAGTTGGAAAAACTAAAATAATACAATGTGTCATTAACTCAAAAAATTTTGATTTCAGTTTAATCATTAAGTTATAACTTACTCATGCGATTTTTGTTCAAATGTATACCTAAGTATGGATAACTGGTACCTTCTGGATAATATATGGCTTATTATACAATCAAGTGGCATATGACAACACAGTAATATTACAAACAACTAAGAATTTCTGTGAGTTAAAGTAGTTTGTTTTGCTTTGGCATTTAAATTAGGAAAACTAACCTATGAAAAAAAAAACAATTCAAAATATCATAATACGTAAATTCTAGAAAAGGTAGATTTAATTGGTAACTTTTAGATTTTAAATGAGAATCTACATTTTTGAAATATAATTCATGTATGGTTTAATTTTCAATGAATTTTGATTGGGTTTTACATTTATGTGTCAAACTTAATAATTATTAAAGGATCAATCGACATTGGTCAACACTTAATGATTATAATTATAATTAATAGCCATGTGCCTAGTAAACTATTTTCAATAAAACATGTTTAATTACCCTAAAATTAACTTTACCTAAGGGCTAAGACTGCAAATATAACATCACTTGTTAGTTTTTTCATTAAATTTATATTTTCCTTATTGATATTGTTATGTTTGATAAAACATTTGTATTTTTATGGATTTGACCAAGTTTACACAAATGTGGTTCATTTGTGCCACTAAGGATCTAAATTTGCTACTGATTAGTGATTACATAATTTAATTTAACTCCTGACTTGTAAATACAATTTTCATAAAATTTTGACTGAATATTACCTTGCTCATACTTAATAGATACTTATGTACATCCATAGTTTTTTGGATGAAATGTTTCATATTATAACATTTATAACCTTATAAAGTCTTGAAGTTATATTACAAGGTTATAAAATATTTTTAAGTGTAATATTATTTAATTATGCATTGTATTGACAAACTATATTTTAGATAATCAAGAAAATTGAAAAAAAAGAACTAACTGCATATTAGGACCAATGATATGTATTGAAAACTAAAAATGTTGCTAATGTTCATAAGTTGATACATTATACATTAGCTAATATTGGATTTTAATATTTCAACAGGCAACAAAATTAAAAATATGGTTAGTATACTTTGTACTTACTTATTTTAAGTGAAATATTATTCAATTTGGTATTCAAACTAATAGTTTTTATTGTACTTTTTTCAGATACCTATCAAGTAATTTTGAAAGAAGTGTAAAAAAAAAAAAAGATTTGGACCAACAATCGAGAGGAAAACTATTACCAATCATGAACTCTACTATAACATACCATTTGGATGATCCTGTATGTATATTAAAATTATATTCAAATTGCTATCTTCAATTACATTTGCAAATGATAACAGTAATAAATAACAATATTGCGTCACATATTGGATTTTAATATTTCAACAAACTACAAAATAAATTAAGTATGTTGGTATAAATCTTTAACTATAATGTTATTTAATTATATTGAAAAACTGTTTTTTTTAGATGATCAAGTTAATTTGAAAGAAGTGGACAACAATTTAGATGGCCTAACTGCATATAACCAATAATATGTATTGAATACTAATAATTGTATAATGCTTGTTTTGTAATTTCATAATATTTTTTAATATTGTATTTAAACGAGGTGACAACATCAATCATTAAGACTCAAAAGATATGTATGTACATAATAATATACTGTATATTTGTATGCTGTGTACTTACGTTTGATACATCATACATAATATACATAATATGTAGATTGTGTAATTCAAATAAAGTATATTTCAATTAATACAAATTACTAATAAATAATATGCTTTTCAATATTAAATAATAGCGATAATCATTGTACCTACTCGCTACAATAAATTATTGTCATAATCTCATATAGTCATATTATTATAAGTAATTGGACCATTACTGTCAAATGTTGCATACTCGCGTGTGTAATCCCCACTACACACCTAGCACGATGTAGATAATATTACTATAGATATAAATTATTATCTACATCATAACACGTCCTATAACCTAACCTATAGTAATACGAACACAAAACAAAACAGTTACTGTAATGTAATGTATTATGTAATGTAACAGTGATGTCTGATTAACTGATTTGAGATTACTATCGTACCTACTTTGTGCTGATATCATAGTTTCATGATCAGGTACATGATATTATGGAAGTATACCAAATACCAGGTTGTTGTGGATCGAAACTAATAGTTTTTATTGTACTTTTTTTGGCAACAAAATTAAAAATATGGTTAGTATACTTTGTACTTACTTATTTTAAGTGAAATATTATTCAATTTGGTATTCAAACTAATAGTTTTTATTGTACTTTTTTCAGATACCTATAATATTGTATTTAAACGAGGTGACAACATCAATCATTAAGACTCAAAAGATATGTATGTACATAATAATATACTGTATATTTGTATGCTGTGTACTTACGTTTGATACATCATACATAATATACATAATATGTAGATTGTGTAGTTCAAATAAAGTATATTTCAATTAATACAAATTACTAATAAATAATATGCTTTTCAATATTAAATAATAAAAGAAATATATTTTTACTTTAAATTATATTTTATTGCTTAGTAAAATGTAAATAACTTATATTATTTCTGTAGATGATTGGTGTTGTTGCCTATTTATAGCTATTACTACTGAAGTAATAAATTCACGTTTGAATAATATTATAAGGGCCACTTTTAAATTTTACTATTGTTTTAAGTCTGGGGGTTATGGAGATTTTTTTCTCATTTTTTGAATACATGTTAATCTTTACTCATATTTTGCATAATTGCACTACGAATATTTAGATTTAACTGTATCATCAAATTTGAAATAGATTTTTCATGGTCCTAGACTTTAAAATGATGGTTAAAATTATATAGTGGTTAATTATAATAATAATTTAAAGGTACATTCATGACTATAGTACAGCCAGCGAAAAATGAGCCACGACGGCAACATTACTAGTAGTGTATTTTAGCGTAATCAGGGGTTCTCCGTTTGAAACTATTGGTGTCCCTACATTTTATTTTACAATTTTTCAAACCCCTTTAGGCCTTGAGTAAAATGTACTACAACACGTTTTTTAAATATTTTAATAGTAGCACTGACTCTATGATAAGGATCCATGACCAAATCAGTATGCATAGACAAGAATACTAATAGATAGGCAACTGCTGTGTTAATTTTTCGAACATTGAAAACTGCGATCCTGGTGTCTGATGACAAGAACTACGGCGGCGGCGCGGCGGCCGTATTCCCGCTTTTTTTTGAATTTATCAATTGAAATTCTTTTTTTCTTTACCAATTTATTATTATCAACTATAAAGTGATAAGAGAACAACAGAAATTAAAATAAATACAGATTTATTAATACAAAACATTTAATTATAATAATAATGAATATTATAAAAATAAATAATAAATAAACTGAAAAAAACCAAAAATAATACTGAACAATTTAAATATTATTTAACATTTTAAATATAATGACAATAAAAAAGCTAACAATTAATTGAATAATATAAATTATAAATACAGATTTTACATTTCATTGTGCTGTTTTTATATTGAACAGCATAATATAAATATTATAAAAATAAATAATTAATTAATTAACAAGAAGAATACTTAAAAATTTAAATATTATTTAACATTAATTAAAATATAATAACAATAAAAAAGTTAACAATTAATTGAAGAATATAAATTATAAATACAGATTTTACATTTCATTGTGCTGTTTTTATATTGAACAGCATAATAAAAATATAATAAAAATAAATAATTAATTAATTAACAAGAAGAATACTTAAAAATTTAAATATTATTTAACATTCATTAAAATATAATAACAATAAAAAAGTTAACAATTAATTGAATAATATAAATTATAAATACAGATTTTACATTTCATTGTGCTGTTTTTATATTGAACAGCATAATATAAATATTAATAAATATTATAAAAATGAATAATTAATTAATTAACAAGAAGAATACTTAAAAATTTAAATATTATTTAACGTTTTAAATTTAATGACATTAAGGGATAATAATTAATTTAATTTTATACATTATAATTTTTTACTTTTTTATTTTTTTCTAAATTGAGGCCTTTTAGAGAATTTTTTGTATCTTGCAGATGCTAATATTTTTATTTGGTCACTTTCTTTACTATTGATATACATCTTTCCAGCTAATATTCGATTAATATGTGTGCACCAGTTATGGACAAAAAGTTTAATCGCAAATTCTACAAATCTTTTGCCAAACTCTGATTTGTGAGTTGTACATGAAACAATGTTGGTATCAATAGTTGTATTGATAATTTTAACTAATTCACATTTCAACGAGGAATGATGACATATACTCGGTAAATGCTTATAAATAATATCAATTGTGTTTTGAACTAGTTGACAAAATGTTGTATTGGGGTATTTTAGATTTAATTTCCCATTTAATTGGTAATCCCTGTTTTTAACTAGATCATGCTGTTCTGTTGGAGTTGACGTGCAGATTTCCTTCAGGCACTTTGAACAATCTTTGATGAATACTGTATTGAGTTTTTTGCAAATGTATCCAGCTATATAAGTATTGGTTTGATGTTCAAGTTGAGCATGGGTAATTTCCGTTTGTGGTTTTTTTCGCAGTTTTCCATCAGCAACCCTGTCTTGTAATGGTTCCGTCACCTCTGCTTCCAACATTTCTTTTGAGTAAGCATCAAATAAAGTTTGAAATGACATCAGCCCACTATTACCTTGGTCATCTTCGCAGTTACTGCCAGGCGAGTGACTTGACAGAAAATTGTTCAACACCAGGGTTCTGTAAGAAGATGCAAACATCTGGCAATTAGGATTATTATTCCTGTAACCTAGAGCCCGCAAAGCACCAAACATATTCTCCAATGGATCCTGATTGAAGTTTCTTAATAGTAGAGAATGCACACCATTAGCATTCATAACTTTGACTACATTTTGAAATCCTGTTAAAATAAAGAAACAAAAATGTATGAAACAAATTGAATAATATAAATTTATGTATAAAGTTTCCACATAATTTTAAATTAATTACCTTTCAAAGTTAGTATCCAATTTTTAATTGTAGGTGGCTGAGATTTACATTTCTGTTTTGTTACACTGTCTACAAAGTGCATAGTTTCCATCACCTTAATTGCATTTCTCCATAGTTGGTGGTGTGGGGAGTTTTTTGTCACAGCCGTACGATACACCTTTCCATCAACAACTTTGTGGAAGTTACCATTGACAGAATCGAAAATCTGGTCGAAAAATAAACAAATATCTGCTGTATCCTTTGCCTTAACGTCCATTATATCCCTTGCTGAAAAAAATGTTGTATAAATTAAATTAGTTATTTTTACACATATTACATAATATATTATACATATTATATATATAGTTACTTACAAGCTAAAAAATTTAGAATTGCTGCTACTCGTTGACTTAATACTTGGCAAGCATTTTTAACCTTCATTTTTCTAATTTCGTTTGGTATAACATGTTCTCTAGTGAGTCTAGGTAACATTCTTACCTCTTGAATATTATTGTCCAATTCATACAAATCTATAATATCTTGCCAGCGTGCTTCCTTCCGCTCTCCATTTATTGTACACACAAGATTTTTGTTGAGGAGGTTATTTCTGATTCCTTTTATCAAGTGCGGAGAATCATACAGATGAATAACTTTGACGCGTTCATCTCCACATTGAATCTCATAGAAGTTATCATCATAGTTATTTTCGTTTCTTCGTAAATAGTATTCTTTCGTATAATTGTGCAATACTCTAATAGCAGCACTATTGGAAGTTCCTTGGTCGCAAATTGTAGCAACAACTTTCAGACCAACAGATGTTACTGCTTGAATCACCTTTCTTATTTGGTTGGCCAAATCATGTTTATTAGTTGAACTCTGGCAAAATGTGTATGACATTGGTTGTTTGTATTTTTTGGTTATACCCTTTATCATAAAGACCAAACTATGGTCTGCAAAATTTTGGGTACGTCCTAAACCATTATCTTCGAATCCCATAATATTTCCTACATTGTGATCATAATGGAGCTGAGCTTCTAAACTGACTTCATCAAATAGTATAACACAGAATTTATCTTTTTTTTTTAAATGTTTAACATTTTCTCCCAAAACTTTCAAAAAAGTCTCATCTAAACCAGTTTTAATCGGTATTTTGGACAAAAGTGAGGATAGCGTTTTTCTTGAAGGCAATGTAAACAATTTAGAAAGTAGCCGGTAAGATTTTTTACTTTGTTTGTACAATGATAAACTTAGTAACTTTTCCTCCATTGTAAAACGTCTTCCTTTTGCCTTGTTATGGGTTTCTCTAATTTGTAGTTGAGTGAAAATGGCGCCAGCTGCAGTCATTTTTCTTGATGTATTGGAGGAAAAAAACTGACTGTCGAATTTGGAAGCAGCTGCCAGGCGACTTTTAAAACTAATGCATCTAGTTTTCAAGCGGTTCAGTTGTTTATTCAAAACTACACTGTCTGAGTAAAATTGTTTACACCTTGGTGTTAATTGGCTAACTCTACTGACATTTATTTTACTCAGAGCACCTACAAAAAAAAAAAATATATTCAAATTTATTTCTTGCTAATCAGTGTTACAAGATAAAGCAATTGATGATATGAAATTTAAAATATGGTGCTATCAGTGATTAATAAATTTCAGATTTTCAATCAGTAGAAAATAATAATTACCATGTTTTTGTAAGCGCTTAACTACAGGCTTTTTTTCTTTTCTATATTTAACAACTTTTTGGTGTTCATCATGCACTATTAAAGTAAAGCATATTGAAAGGCGCAAATATTAATTACAAAATAAGCTAAGCATCCAAGACAATATTTATAATACAAAGCAAAAATATAAATTATAAGCATGAATAAATTATACATACATTGCAGAAGTGAATCACTGAATGGTTCTATACCAGACATATCAACATCATTACTCTGGTCGTTGTTAAAAGAATGATTTGAGAAAGGAGACTGCACTACTATATTTGACGTATACGATGTTGATGGATCAACAGAACCTAAATATTCACTCATTGGGTCAGTAACAGTTGCATTTTCGTCAGAAGTACTTATAACTGGAAATAAGTATAAAAAGTGCATACCATTAGAAAAAAAAATGACTAATAAAAGTATAACACTGTAAGTATGTAATGAAAGCATACCAGGTGGTTGATCAGAATCACTGAGTTTTTCAACACCAAACATATCAACATCATTACTCTGGTCGTTGTTAAAAGTATGATTTGAACTAGCAGACTGCACTACTATATTTGACTTATACGATGTTGATGGATCAACAGAACCTAAATATTCACTCATTGGGTCAGTAACAGTTGCATTTTCGTCAGAAGTACTTATAACTGGAAATAAGTATAAAAAGTGCATACCATTAGAAAAAAAAATGACTAATAAAAGTATAACACTGTAAGTATGTAATGAAAGCATACCAGGTGGTTGATCAGAATCACTGAGTTTTTCAACACCAGACATATCAACATCATTACTCTGGTCATTGTTAAAAGTATGATTTGAACTAGCAGACTGCACTACCACACTTGACCCAGATGGTATCACATTTATAGCTATACCTAGTAACAAAATTATGATTAAAAATAAGACTTTATCCAGCAATAATTATAAAAATTATTCAAATTACAATTATTTGACATGTTCAATGTAGGGTATGCATTCGCATTCAGAGCTTTAGTGCCAGGACTTTTTGTATTTGTGTCAAAGTGGACATCACAGATTCTTTTTTTGATGTATACATTCTCAGGTGTCATATTATTCAGGCCTACAATTTCCATCCACTTAAGTAGCCGTCCCATATATAGCCGTGGATTTGGAAAACGATGAGAAATTACATCTAAAAAAAATAAAATAAAATTTTGTATTACTTTGGATTAGAAAATTAACTAACTTGTTAGGTTAGAAAGTTAAAAATAATTATCTTATTAACTAGTTTATGCCCCTTTGATAATAGTATACCTATCAACAAGTAAGTTATTGTAGGTCTTTGTGGTTATTTATCAATTGCCTACTATAAAGATAATTTAGCTATAACATTTTACAACAATTATATGTTATTTATCTTAATGACTCAAGTGAGGTGTAATTTCCCGTGATAAAATGAAAATAAAAATAACAATAATAATTGGTACATACCTACTTAGACAAGTATAGGTACATTAAATATTATTATTGATTATAAGTAGGTACCTGATTATACCTGTTATCCATCATCGGTCACCGCCAAAAAAAAAGTTAATTTGGTAGGCGATAAGACGATCGCAATAAACGCATCACAGTGCCTAACATGGCAACTATCTATATAATAATTAAACGAAAATAGTATTGTTTTTGTTAATTATTGTGATGAACTACGAGTTGGTAATCACCGGGCTATACAGTGTCGACAGCCATGACTAAAATATACAAATATATAATATTGCGCGTGACGCTATCTCACTAGGTATTATGCTACAATATCCAAATTAGGGCAATAATCTATAGGACAATAGAACACTGGGCCAGTCGTCCCAATCCACATTTCAATTGATTTATTCATGCATAAAACTAAAAATTACTAACCTTTAGAACTGCATCCAGCTATGCAACATTTATACGAGTGCCTAGTCATTTTGTTGTAGGTATTCGATTATCAAAGTATAAATTGAGATGAACACGCAGAAGGCAAAAAAGTGTATCAGAATTCACAACATAGTCCAGTATACAAATCACAGTTTTAAATTTCACTTTCACAACGAGAAAACAATTAATAAATTGAAAAAAAATCCGTTACGATTTATGGTTATGAATTTATGATTATTATTATGGCAGACGGCAGTACTCGTCTACAATCGGATTCGGTCGCCGCTACAGTGGCGCGCCCAGTGTCTGATGTCATAAACACCACCGACCAAATACGATCTATGAAGTTGCCAGACCCTGTCAGTATGACTACTATTTGAAATTAATTTACGTGGCAGATAGTTGTAGAATCCCTGACGAAATTCGGCCACCAGGAGCATTGGTATCGCTGCTGATTTTTCGCTGGCCGTACTATAGTGCCTGATTTTGTCCAAAAATTATTCTAGAATATGAGCATATTTATGTATCAAAAATGTATTGTATGCGAATATTTTCATGCATAAAAATACTTTGAAAATTGTATAAAGTATTTATTATGTACAAATGGAAATGTCATTAATGTAGAGAATTATAAATTTATGATTGTGTTAATTGTACTGAGAAAAATTTAAATTATTTTATTTGATGTTTATAAAATATGCTACTTGTAAATTGTAATCAATATTGTAACTATCTGCAAAATGTGGAACTTAAATTGAATTTTACTCAAATATGCAAAAAAAAAATATATTAGCTACAGAAATAGATTAATGCATTAAGAAACATTGATTTTAACCAGAATTATTTTAAGTGTAGAAAATTATAAATGTATAAATTATGTAAAAACTGGACCACTATGACAGTAAATTGTTTGAAATAAATTATGTTTAACAATTATTGATTATACATAATATACTTAACCCACCATGACGTGTCCAAAAGATATTATATAATATATTATTATATTATTCAATGAAAAAAAATAAGATGTTTATAAAGAACTTCGTATTTATATTTAAAGAAAAACTAATATATTTTATTAATTAGGTACTTATACACATTAATATAGAGGTAACATTAGTCGCCCGTATGAAGACATCAATAGTTTACGATGCCACGGATTATTTCCATAAATAATAATACCTACTCATTAGTTATTACTTTTTAGTACTTATTCCTTATTTTCCATTAGTACAATAATGATTGGAATAGTAAAAATATACCTATGACTATTAATTACAATTTTATTCAAGTGACTAACACTTATCACTATTAACTCAATTTTTAATTTAATTGAAAAAAAAATAATTAAGCAACTTAGTTAACTTCAGTTAATAACTGAATAACCATTGAGGCATTGACAATGACAATTATAGTCAATAACCAATATCATACCTACCATGATGACACGTAAATGATAATAATTAAATAACGTAAATATTTTAATTTCAAATTTGTAATAATCATATACCATCTTATCACGTATCCAGGGGGCGTGGCATACGTTATCAATTAAATATATCATATCATATTAAAGTATTAAACAATGGAAATAACCCGACCCCGCGCCGAATACCCTGCCAATTAGGCGGAAACAGTTTTTAAATACGGGTATAACATCAAGTTGGTGTACGGAAACAGTTTCAATGTTTGGACTTCAGATCATAGGTAAACACTCATTGATATATTAAACTAAAATAATGTTTAATATCTATAGATATATAGCTACTATGTAGCATAGTGCTACTATGTACTTATAAACAGTAGCACAGTTACTTATGAGAAACCACCAAACTTTGAGGCACTGTATCTCGCTAATGGATAAACATAAAATGAAAATTTTAACGTTATAATTCATAAAAAAAATAGTTTTATTGTTTTATAAGATTTTTATTATGGGTTGCCATTTGAAAATCAAAAGTTGATAATAGTTTGACCAATAAATATAAGGGTGAAAAAAATTAAAGTGTTATACAAATGTAGAAAAGTATGCAACTAAAATTTTTAGAAAAAAAATTTTGGTAAAATGTCTATACTTTCAGAAATAATGAGTGTTCTTCGATAAAAAAATCACCCTGTATATAATCGAGTTATTTTTCTTGAAGAATTCTGGTCAACGGAACAAGAAATTACCTTTAAGTACCAGTACCTTAAAAAATTATAAAACAAAGATTTTCATAAATAGTTCATACTGTAACCAAAAAATCCAAAAAATATATGAACACAGTAATTTTATACAAACATTTTAAATTCAAATTTGTACAAAATTACATATCTAGTACCTACTAAAACCAATCATCTTCATTCCTGAATGCATGATTTGCAGCATTATTAGGTATTTAGGTATTTCTTAGTATGTTTTTCTCTACTCTCTTAATATTCTTTCTTAATATTACAGACGTTCTCAAAATCTCAACCATTCCGAATGTGAATGCGACCAAAGATATCAACCCGATGTTTCATGTCCTTTTTAAGCATGACATAAATAATACAAATTATTGTAATTAGGTACACGAATTTACGAAAAAATGTTTAAACATAAATAAACAAATATAACAATAGGTAGTAGGATATATTTGCCGATCCTAGGACCGCCACCGCCACCGCCACCACCACCGCCACCCCCGCTACTCCCCGCCAAGCACGTCGCCACATTGACACAGCCACCACCACCGCCACCTCCGCTACACCCCGCCATGCCCACCGCCACATTGACACCGCCACCACCGCTACTCCCCGCCACCACCACCGCCACTACTCACCGCCAGTAATGGATTGTGCCGACGTCACTACACCTCTGATCCATTATACATATAATATACAGTACGCACACATATATTTATATTACCTATACTTAAATGCAACAGGGTGGTCAAAAAATCTGCATGGAAATGTTTTTTAAGCATAATATCTTATCTCAGCAAGATGTTTTCCCACACACTTGTATATATTTTTTTCCCTGGTTTTTGTTTTCCAGCATATCCATACTTAAAATCCCTTCCATTCTTATGTATTAATATAATGACAAAAATAATTGTTTTAAGCAAGTGCATTAGCAGTACACTTAGGTACATCATGGGTATTGTGTTTAAGAGAAAAAATACATCGTCATACTGGGTGGGGTGGGGGTATACAATTGCTAAGACAGCATTTAGCAAAAATCTTTGAAACATTGAATTTTGAAATGTGTGCAAAAATTATTACAGTAGAACCTCGATTATCCGAACCTCCGTTATACGAACCCTCTATTATCCGAACTATAATTAGCGTATCCGAACGTTCTGTTATCCGAACATGAAAATTCGTATCCGCCCGGTCGTAAGGTTTATCGAATTTATCATAACTATCGTTTTTGCCTTTTTGATTGGTTAGCAACTGATGTAAATGATCTAGGTTATCAAATATTAGATAGCGATGAAATCATTTCTTCGTTGCAAAATGAAGAAAGTGACGACAGCAGTAGTGATGAAACTATGAAAGTATGAGTACGCCAAAAGGACCAACATCTGCTGAAGCATTTGCTGCATTTGAAACTGGTCTTGAGTGGTTTGAAAAACAGGACGAATGTTGTCCAGCACAATTACTTCTCCTTAAACGTTTGCGAGACTTGGCTGCAGAAAAGCGCGTTGCAGCTCATCGCCAAATTAAAATTGATAATTTTGTCAAAAAAATATAATATATACATATGTAAATAAAATAAATGTAATGTACCTATTTCTTATAAAGTATGATAATGTTTCTGATAATGTAATGTATGCATGTAATTCTAATAAAATATTAATAACAATAATAAATATTTAATTATAAAAATAGTAAATAGTTAATACATACATAATTCTAAATTTTTTTTTAAATTTCCAATATCCGAACTTTTGCGTATCCGAACTAGGTGCGGTCCCAATAAGTTCGGATAATCGAGGTTCTACTGTATTATTATTCGGCTTGGCCATTGTCAGATGCGTTAGTAACGATCCGACAGTCATTTGTGTGTGTGTATATCGTTATATTTTATGCATATTAAAAATGTTTAAGTGCGATCAGTGTGTATCTGTTTTCTCGCGGAAAGATATTTTATTAAGACATTTAAAGTGTCACAATAACATTAAACAAATTAAGTGTTTTATTTGCAACACTTTTTTTAGCAGAAATGATGCTCTCAGAAGACAAGAGAAAAGTATTCACGGTGAGTAAATTTCATAGTCATACAATAGAATATTAGGATTTTATCAGGGAAAATGTTATATTTTTTTTATCATTTTACAAAGATTAGTACACACATGATGTATATACTCAGTATCACGGGTTGATTAAAATTACTGTAGACAGTTGTCTCTTTTGTTTACATTATTTGAACCGGTGTGCCGTGTCAATCGTTCTCAACGGATGATAATTTTTTTACTTAATATACGGTTACCGAATACTTGTTCTATAATAAATGCAATCTGAGCGTTTTAAGGGGTTTAGTATATACAACCATACGTACATTATTGTAGTATAAAATACAATATAACGCATTTAATTCTCGTTTGAAATAATAAAGTATTGTTCCGTTTTAGGTTTGTTAAACAGTGATGCACAGCCAGTTACAGCGGCAACTGCAAGTAAGAATTATATATTTGTATAATTTAGTGTTTAATATTTTACATATAATATCACTTTTGTAGACAACGATGGTGTAGCAGTATTGGATGAGGTTGAAAAAAGTGGATTGCATGAAAGTTTATATTATATAGTAAATATATAGTAAATATATAGTAAATATATCGTCTTTAATTAAAAATGTTTATTATAGATGATAACAACGCGTTTGATGATAAATTAATTTACGAAGACAGTAGTGATGGCTATTGTATTGATGTGTTGGATAAGGTCAAACATAATGAAATGTGTAAAAGTATGTTATATTAAATACGTATATCTTGAATCACCTATTATTATTATTATTATTATTTTTTTTTTTAGATAATTGCAATATTACGTTTGAAGACGAATATGATAGTTTTTGTATTGATGTATTAGATAAAGCGGAAAATAATGGATTGTGCAAAAGTATTATATTATATATCTATATATATGTAAATGATAACATAATAATATTGATTTTTTTTTAGCTGATAATGATAAGCCGGAAATTATTGAAATTGCCCCAAATACTTTCGTCGAGAATATACAAGCTGCATCTTCAAAACAAAGTTCATACTTAATATAAATATATATATATTTTTTTTTTTTATAAAACTTATAAATTATTTAAGTAAACTTGTATATAATGAGAATTCAAACGGACAGAATAAAAATAAACGTATGAGGATGACTACATCATCGACATTTGTTCTAACAAAGTCTGCGTTCAACGGATTGTGCAAAGAATATTTAAAAAAAAACACTGATGGTATTAAAAATGCTAGAGATTTTTTAGACCATTCAAAGCTGGAGATTTATGCTATACTAAACGAATCAATTGAAAACTCTCCGGTAAAGTATAATATTAAATTAGAGGCCACATATATTATACCTAATACCCATACGAGAGAAAATAGAGCATTTAAAACTCGATCAAGATCAGTATTTCAATCAGATGATGTTAACAATTTTTTAGAATTAGATTTTATTAAGCTATTACAAGAACAAGAAGAGATGGAGCTATATAGACGGAATAGACGGAATTATATTCAACGTAAATGTATACAAACCTTTAGGAGGTTCGTCATATATACCACTTCCGGCATTTATAGAGAGGAAAAAAGCGACGATTAATGTTCTGAACTTTGATGAAAAATGTTTTAAATATAGCATTTTAGCTAAACTAGTAAATCCTGTTCATGCTGAAAGAATAGGATCTAATTATGTTGAAGTAGAGAACAGATATGATTTTGAAAATATAAATTTCCCTGCTTCATTAAACGATGTAGCAAAATTTGAAAAAACAAATAAAGTTTCGGTTAACATATATAGTTTAAAAAACGGAGAGCTCAAATATAAAAATAACGTAAAAAAAATTCAAAAAGAATAAATTATACCACAACAAAACCTGAACAAACTATAGTTTATCCAGTAAAAGTATGCAAGGAAGAACTTGATGATCACCATGATTTATTATTATTTTGAGATGGCACGGGAAAACAACATTATTGTCGTATAACAAATTTAGCAAAGTTAATCGGAGCGCAACTAACAAAAAATGGACACACTACGTCATTATGTAAGCGGTGTTTTAAGACATACTTTGGTGTTAACCGTCGTGGGGTTACCGCAGAACAACGCCTCAAAGCCCATAAATTGAATTGTAATAAAAATAAGCCTCTGATACCATTATTACATATTAGTTTGAAAATTGGGATCGTACGCGCAAACATCCATTTTCTATTTATGCAGACTTTGAATCAATATTAGAAAAAAATAGTAATAATGATTCAAATAATACACACATTATTCACCACCATGATGTCATGAGTTATTGCTATTATATTAAGCCGAGTGATGATATACCAAAAGAATTGTTAGAAAAATATGATATTGAGACGCGACCAGTTGTGTTCAGAGGTGATTCAAGTTTTAACAGAGGTGACGTTGCAAAGAAATTTACGGAAGACATTGTTAAAGTTGCCCTTAAAATTGAAAAAATATTAAACGTCAATGTGCCGATTATAATGACTGATGAAAATAAAAAAAGTCATCAAAATGTCGTCGCTCAAGGATCATGTCCATTATGTAAATCGAAATTTATTAAACTTTTAATAATTCTGTTAAAGATCATGATCATTTGACCGGAAAGTACAGAGGGACTGTATGCAGTAAATGTAATTTATTAATGGAAAAGCCTAGTTTCGTTCCAATTTTTTTTCATAACCTTTCTGGTTATGATTCACATTTTATTGTCACACAGCTAGGTTTCGATACAATTCGATTAACATTATACCAAATACCAAAGAGAAATTCATATCCTTTACAAAATATATATTAAATACTTTTCAAATTCGTTTTGTTGACACTTATCGTTTTATGTCGACTAGTTCGGATAAACTAGTAAATAATTTGGCTAAAGGCGATACATTAAAATTTAGAGAGACCAGAAGAGTGTTTAATAATAATGATATTGAACTGGTAACCAGGAAAGGTGTATATTGTTATGAGTATACGGATAGTTGGGAGAAATTATGTGAAACGGCAATGCCATCAAAAGAACACTTTTACAGTACATTGCACGAATCCCATATTGACGATGCGGATTATGAACATGCAATACGAGTATGGGAACACTTTAATTTGAACACCCTTGGTGAATACAGTGACTTGTATATCAAAGTTTATGTCATGCTACTTTGCGATGTTTTTGAAAACTTTCGAGACTTATGTTTGGTTACGTATGGTTTGGACCCTAATTACTATTATACCGCACCTGGGATGTCGTTTGACTGCTGTTTGAAGATTACTGAAGTAGAATTAGAACTTTTGTCCGACTATGATCAATTATTAATGACGGAAGCAGCAATTAGAGGAGGACTTACACAAGCAAGTATGCGATATGCTCAGGCGAACAACAACAAGGTTCCCGATTATGACTCCTCAAAGACAGAGTCGTGGATTGCATACCTGGACGCAACAAATCTGTTTGTACTTTATTTATTTATTTTTTTTTTACATAAAACATTGTTACAACAATTTATTGTATTTGTATAGCTACCGTTGGGCTATGTGTAAATATATGCCAAAGGACGGATTTAAATGGTATGAGGGCAATCTAGATGTTAAAAATATTTTAAAATTGTTGGAAAGTTCAAACGAAAAATCAAAAATCGGATTCTCGTTAGAAGTTGATGTATTATATCCTCAATCCTTGCATGAAGAGCATAACGAGTTACCGTATCTTCCAGAAAGGATGGTCCCCCCTGGATCAAAGATAAAAAAACTCATTGCCAATTTACAACATAAAAAAAATATGTTGTTCATTATATGGCATTGAAACAAGCTCTGAAAGCAGGATTAATATTAGAATAGGTAATAATTGTTTAGTTGTTTATTATTAAAAATTTGTTGGAATAATTTTTTTTTGTTTAGGTGCATCGAGTTTTACAATTTAATCAATCACCATGGCTTCAAAAATATATTGAGTTGAATACTAAAATGAGAAAGAACGCATTAAACGATTTTGAGAGAGACTTTTTTAAATTAATGAACAATGCAGTATTTGGTATGGTTTTTTTTTTACTATCATACCTTTTTTCTTAAATTTGTTTTTAATTGTACAGGGGAGACTATGGAAAATGTAAGAAATAGATTAAAAATGAAACTCGTTTCTGATGAAAAAACGTGTTCAAAGTTAATTAACCGAAATACGTTCAAGGACATTACAATTTATAACGAAAACCTAGCTTTAATACATTTGGATGTAGATGAATTGAAATTCGATAAATCAATATACGTAGGGTTTGCGATTTTGGACATATCAAAGACATTAATTTATGATTTCCATTATAACTCTATGGTTAAAAGTTATGGTTCAAATATTCAACTGATGTATACGGATACAGGTACATATATTGCATAAATGATAATTTACCAATAAATATATTTATTTTTTTTTTTTTTTCAGATTCATTGATATATTATATAAAGACATCTGATTTCTACGCTGATTTGTTGAACAACCCCGATCTCTTACAACGTATGGATACTTCAAACTTGCCGATCAATCATCCATGCTATTGTGTTGACCGAAAGAAATTACCTGGGACTTTTACTGATGAAACGGAAGGACAAGCTATAACAGAGTTTGTTGCCCTACGAGCTAAATCATATGCTTATAATCTATCGGGTGTGGAAAAAATCAAAGCGAAAGGTGTCAAAGGTCATGTCGTTAAAAATCATATGAGTTTAGCAGATCATAAACAATGTTTATTATGGGACGGCACAACGGTTGATAGTGATACTGGCAGAGGCATAGCTATAAAACAATTCGAGTTGTTTAAATCTACAGGGCACACATCTTCAACAAAACAGTATACACCGTATCGAGTAAATATATCACTAAGATCTTTTAAACATCAGATGAAATCAATTTCAACAGTTAAATTAGCTTTAAACCGATCCGACGATAAGAGGATAGTACTTTAAAATCAAATTAATACCTTGGCTCATGGACATTACAGTTTAGAGTGAGATAAATATAATCATTCTTTATATAATAATCTAATTATATATCTATGTTGCAGACAAGAAGAGGAGTCTTTAACTAACACACAAACATGAAGTCTTCATTATAATTGATTTATTATTCGTGTAATTAAAACTGTATACAATGTAAACTATATGTAAACTGTATATTATAATGTAAACTATATGTAAAATGTATACAATGTAAAATAATTTAAACTGTATATTATAATGTAAACTATATACAATGTAAAAATAATTTAAACTGTATATTATGTAAAATATAATTTATACGTGAAAAAAATTATAATCTTAAATTATCAACATACCATTTTTTTTAATGCAAATGCTTTATTCAATGTACATTGTAGTGGATTTAAATCTTTATGAAAAATACAGCATGGTAGTGATTGTCCAGTCAATGAACAAATCCGAGGACATTCAAAGAGTTCCAAGTCGTAGATGGTGGCGTGTGGCATAAACTCGATGATGATCCGTTGTTTCTGCAAACCTTTAACGTAAATTCTGTCGAATTTGATCGATTGGAATATTTTATGTATTTCTTCATACTCTACATCACCGTAATCCGGAGACAAACCATGATGCAGCCGTTGCAGCCAACTGTTTACACTTCGACTTTTTGCATCATGTTTTAAAGATGTATTTTTAAATATCCAGTGTTGATTGTACGATGTCTCAGTGTCTACGATAGACATTTCTTTAGTAAACCACTTGTTGTTGACTCCGACAACGCACTGCACGTCCAGGACAGCCGATGACATGTTTGTAGATTAATTAGTTTTTATAATAATTTGCTGTACCGAACAGATTCACATCTGAACTACCACTGGAACTATTTTTTAATATCTCCCTTATTTATCCATGAATTATGAGAATCGTCAAACCCCACCCACTTGACATATATCTGATTCCCCTTCTTTCGTACAATTGTTTCAATTAAATAATCATTAGGATAATTTGTTTTAGATATTTCTTCGTTATAAAAACAACCAGCTATTGGATCATCGTTATAATCATGTAACTGATAAGTTGGTGGTATTGTTTTGTTTATTTTTACTATTGTGAATATTTCTGTTGACCAATTGGGTAAATATCCTTTTGTAAAACCTCCTTTGTGAGTGCTTATTCGAACTTTATCGCCAACATGAAATTTTACTTTTGTATTAGTGATTGCACGTTGTTTCAAAGTCACTAGTGAAGGATTTTCTTCTGCCTGCAATGGTGTCATACCGATCGTTCTATGTCTTCTATTGTTGTAATTATCTATCAGCATGAGTAAAATAGATATCCATTTATGTGAACCTCGAGCAGTAAACTCTCTATACATGTTTGTTTTCAGAGTGCGATTAAACCTTTCAACAAAACAGGCTTTTGTTGTAGAATAGGTGCTATACATTTTTATATTAAACTTGGACATTAATGTATCAAATTTTAAATTATAAAATTCTTTTCCGTTATCTACTTGTAGCAGTTTGGGTGACCCATCAGTAAGTATAGTAGACATGGCCTTGGTCACCTCACCACCAGTTTTTGTTTTTAATGGTAAAGCCCAGGCGAACTTTGTAAAACAATCAAGCACACATAGGATATAATTATATCCATTGTTTTCCTTTGAATGTGGTATCATCTCGACCAAGTCTGCCTGCCATAAATCGTTTTTTCCGTACACGTTTACTCTTCGTCTTGTATAATTTTTCCTAGCTGGTCTGTGAAGTTCGAATGCTATGTCACGTTTAGACATTTGGTGTTTTCTTTGTTATGCCGGATTCATAGAGTTCTTCAAAAATAGATAATATTTCGTTTGAAACCCCAGTGTTTCCCGCAGATTGAGATTCTAAA